TATTCTTTATAAGAAATGGCAGTCAGTTGATGAATACACATCTTAACTGGCTCTAGAAAATGCACAACCCTGTGCTTTCGTGTCGGCTTGTCCATTTACGTACTACTTAAGAACCATCCTCAGTTCAATATTATTTTTATTACTGATGTTTAATTATCAAAAACAAGAGTTGAAGAAAAACATGAACTTGAGACGGAATTATCTCGGTGACGAAACACACATTTGCATTGATTGATTATTGTTGCAAATTAGTCATATTTTCCAGTGTGATATACCCTACGTGATTGATTTTTTGAAATTGTATATAAAAAGTATACTTTACACAAAAATGTGGCACATTTGGAATATTCTGTTTTAATTTAAATGTTGGCAAAAACAAGTAAACAATAATAAAGTGTCAAGCTATCTGTACACCATCGAGTAAACGATAAAATAGAGATAATAATGCGGTTTTGCCGACTTAAAATAATAAATACATGTTAATAAAAACAAAGAACTGTTTGTTTTTATTAAACCACCACGGTAAGTGTTCCGCAAAACTATAGAAAATAGTGTGGGTTACGTAAAGCAAAATTGTAGAAAAATTAATTTAGTTTTGACATTAAGATGTAATCATTATGAATTGTAGGTGCAAAGTAAATGTTACAGATTTTTGTTATTTTTTTGTAATTATACCAGTATATATAAACCCTCAATAGTTTTTCAAACAGCTTATAATTTTTTAGCTACTTATTTCAGTCATCTTCGTGGGGAATTTGAAGCTTAATGCATATTTTTGAAATCGGTAAAAAATGAGCGTCTAGCATAGGTACATAGCGTGTCATTAAAAACTGCAGATTTATTTCCCTCCATGGCCAAAAATATGTCGAATTTGTTTTCGTAAGTAGACACTTTTCGAAAGGTCGACTATTTTTTGGCAATAGCGTAGCGTCTAATCCTGGCGACTGGGTAGTCAGTTTTCGGACACCCTGTATACGACATAACCGGAAGTGTGATCATCTTAATAAGATTTTACATTACTTCTCCAGATAACTTTCATCTCAACCCCATTTTCCAAAAAATTAGATTTATAGTTTGCCATATACAGAGTGATCCTAAATTAGGTTGAATAATTTGATCTGCAAATATAGCCAAGCAATCAATCAATCGCAAACAAAAATAGGTTTAACAATTTATATAATACACATATAGACCAACAAACGCTTCTTTTACGCAACTAGCGTTAACGATGCAGGTATTTGTGAACGGTAATGTTCCTTGCAATGCTTTCATTTACGTAGGTTTTATGTGGTTTTGAGTTTCCTTTTTGCCATTTTTTGCTGGAACATTCGTTGTCATAGTATAAGGGTTCTTTGACAAATTCATTCGGATTATTATCCAATAATCGTTTCGTGCAATTTTAATGGTTTTTTATCGTAATTATTGTCAAATTGATTCAAATAACTTGAGCTATATCTTGTTAATACAGATGACAAGTACAGGGTGTCCCAATGATAGAGTAACGTTAGTTAGTTTACATTTGACCGATATTGTTTTTTTCGACAACGAATTTTGATCACGCATATTTTAAAACTATTAACAATTATACAGGGTGCGTTATAAGAGTCAAACCACAGAAAAAAAGGTTTTTGCTAATGAAAAATCTAACATTTTTACGAACTCATGGCATGCCTCGTTTTCTACACTCAAAAACATGAAAATGTTATGGACACTGATCCGAAAGTGACGACTAGCGAAAGTAGAAGCTCTTGAAAGTGCGCTCCCTCAATACGTATTTATTATATAATTTATTTTAACAGTTGAAAGGATGACTAGCTAGGTACACATATATGTGTCTCACAAGCTTACAAAACCTAGGGACACATTTAGAAAAATTAGCTAAAATAATAACGGGACGTTTAAAAATTCTGACGGGTCAGATCTTTTTTCAAGGTGCTTTTGAGGTATCGTCCTTTTCCTTAAACTACAGGGTGTTTAGGTAAAACTGTATTTTTTGAAATTTTTCAAAAAAAAGTTCTCCAATTATTGCAAGAACAAATCGACCGAATTTTTCACAGTGAGCTTTATTACTTTAATCGGCTAGCTTTTGAGGGAATATTCTACGTCCTAGAACAAACCGATCTTCGTTTTCTAAAAAGGGAAAAAAAATTAAGCAAGCCGAGGTCTAGCGTGATTCCCTCAAAATCTCGTAGAGTAAAGTAATAAAGCTCATTAAAAGTGGGTCGATTTCAGGCACATGTATTGAAAATTTTAAATCATTGAACAATTATTTTATCATCAATCAGTACCATCAAAAGTTATGAAAATTGGATTAAAGTAAGCCTTTTTCATCAAGAAATGCAACTGTAATTAAATAACACAATAATAATATACAGGATGTCCCATTTAAAATAAGCAAGTTAACACCTACTTCCTCTAGAACCGAAAGTGTGGCGATCTTCAAAATATTTTTGATCGCTTGCCCCCAATGAGTCTCGTATAGTGCCCAATTTTCTAATTTCTCCTAATTATACTGCTCCATATATGTACAGGGTGTCCCACAAGATAAAATAACAACAAATGGTTTAGGGCGATTTTGTTAACGTCATTTTGAAAATTATTTTTTAACTTTGCATTAATAGTTATCAAAATTTTGTCGAAATTCCATTAAAGTAAGTCTTTTCAAAAGTAAATGCTACTCAAATTAAGTAGAACATATTCCCTTATGAGAATAGCCAATAAATATTCAAGTGACAGCAACTGTCATTTCTTACATAAAATTTCAAATATATTAAAAACAGTTAGACTTGGGTATAGGATATTTATTATACATGAAATATATTTAGAATTTGGAGTAGAATTTCAAAATTTAATAATATATAGGGTGTTTCATTTAAAATAAGCGGGTTGAAACTTAGTTCCAGTATAACTGGAAGTGTGGCCATTTAGAAACTATTTTAGATCGCTTGCCCCCAATGACTTCGGCACACTGTTCAATTTTCAAATTTCTCCTAATTATAGTTTGGCAGATACCGATCGTGGCGGTTCCCGGTGGCACACCCTGTATAGATCGCGGTGGTTCTCAGTTAGACACCCTGTATAGGGTGTTCCGAGGTGCAATTAAAAAAAATGTTTTTTCATGTACTGTAACTTTGATGACCCACCAATGGTTAATATTTTTTAAATCACGATATGACGATTACATTTGTAAAATAAATAATACGGGCGTAAACCTATCGTTGAGACACCCTGTAAGAGACCCATTTTGGCCAGGTTTTAGTTGAATGTATGTTAATGTGAATCGTGTTTACTTTTCTCGTTGTAATATTGTAATAATAAAAAAAATGTAAAACTGTTTAGCACAGCTAAGGATGCAGTACCTAATGTGTTGTCTATCAATTACAATTTGAAATAAATATCTCATTAGCGAGCTACAGATGCAGAGAAAAAAACTTTTAACACCCTGTGTCTCGCACGAAACTAAGCGTTTGCGAAGACCTATATTCAAGTGAATTTTGGCCCTTTTTTCTGGTAGTACGTGCAGTTGAAATGATGCAACCTAATTTCGGATCACCCTGTATAGCATCCACCCCAAAGGCGTTCGCGATATGGCACGCTGAATGAAATTTGACTAGAAAATGCGTTTGTACAATCGTTGTTCCTACACATTTTAGGTAAGTGGGAGACGAATTGAAATAAACTTTTTTGGTAGTTGCTTGTCGCCGTTTATTTTTTTGTTATTTTACTTTATTTAGCACCTATTCTGGGTGGTTTGAGACTAAAATGAGTCAGAAAACATCGACATATCGATAATACGCCGATACATTTGAAATATGTATGCCTCGTTACAGGAAATAAATTTTAAATTTGACACCCTGTATATCGTACACAAAGCGTTTGCAGGTATGTAAATGATATGTGAGTGTTTGCCTCGTTTTCTGCTGGTACATTATACAGTTGAATTCGAATCACTCTGTATAGTATTTAACTGGAAGATAAGTTTGTAAGATTCGTTTGTCCTACACATTTTAGGTAAGTGGGAGACGAATTGAAATAAACTTTTTTGGTAGTTGCTTGTCGTCGTTCATTTTTTTGTTATTTTACTTTATTTAGCACCTATTCTGGGTGGTTTTAGACTAAAATGAGTCAGAAAACATCGACATATCGATAATACGCCGATACATTTGAAATATGTATGCCTCGTTACAGGGAATAAATTTTAAATTTGACACCCTGTATATCGTACACAAAGCGTTTGCAGGTATGTAAATGATATGTGAGTGTTTGCCTCGTTTTCTGCTGGTACATTATACAGTTGAATTCGAATCACTCTGTATAGTATTTAACTGGAAGATAAGTTTGTAAGATTCGTTTGTCCTACACATTTTAGGGAAGTGGGAGACAACTTTAAATAAACATTGATTCAGTTCTTGCAACCCTGTTTTTTTTGCGTCAGGAGGTTAGTGTTTGAATTATTGACATTGAGGTTTACAGTATAGTTTTTGAAGCTGCATAAAACAAATTGCAAATCAATTTGGTGCAATTGAGAAATACAAAACTGCTAGATGAGAATAAAGAAAATTTTGAGAAGAAATATGAAATAAAATAAACAGGTGTACTCAAGTTGAAAATTTACCACAGAAATTCAGTCACCTCAATTTCAAAACTACAATATAGCAGTTTCGAGCTGGTAAGTAGATAAAAAAAACCTCAAGGTCCTCAAGTTAGTTCGTAAGAATGTCAGCCAAACAAATACTTATCGTCGAAAATAAAGTAATAAGGTTATCGAGTCAGTACCGCCGACCGAACAAGTGAAATGATAAAGCTTTGGCTAACACGGGGGAAAGAAACTGCACGTGTATACGAGAAAAACAAAAATCAGCGAGTTTTAAACAATTTCAGTCATAACCAGTACCGAGTTGGACAACTACACCTGGTCAAACGCGTATGTACGCGCTACGTTGCCACATCTTCAACCAAGTATTGATCGGGCGAAAATACGAAAAGCATGGAATACTCACGTAATCGTGGAAAGCTTTGGCTTCCGAGGAATGTTCGCAAGTCTCCCTTCTTTCAGGAGCTGCACAATACAAATCCCAAAACACACTAGAAATTTTAACCGGTTAGAAAATCGGGAAATAAAAATTTAAAGTATTATAACCTACCACCACCAAGAGTGTAAAAATCCTGGAGGTTCTCCTAACGTTATGTTCTTTTCCCATCGAATCTAAAAATGCAATTGTTTAGGGATCAACCAGTTGGTGGGAATGTTGAATTTTGAATTCTTACCTCCGATAAAAATGTCTGTGCTGCTTTCTGTGCTCCAACATGCAGCAAATATTCATAAACGTACAAAGCCAACCTGTAGGTGAAATTTTTTAATTAAAAATAGAAATAGATCTTGGGAGCTCATTGCACTATAAGTTTGTTTCGTGTGTGGGTCGCACGCTACCGAGTATCCCAAGGATATTGTAAACTCTAATGTAAACAATCGAGAAGTTTAAATTTTACTCTTAGAATAACGTTTTGGGATCTAAACGTTTGAGAGCACAAATTCTCAACTTTCGTAAAATGTATTCACCACGCTGATTACCGAGCGTGGTGATGGATTTATTTGAGAAAACGTACATTCACGGTAGCAAAAAGCCATAGATATAGGAAAAAACTAAAGTGGAGTACTTACTTTTCTCTGGCTTGTGCATCGGACGGCACTGATGATCCTTTTCCTTTAGCATACATTTTAAAAATAACAAATAAATGTATTTGAGCGAACGTAACCTACATGCAGTATTATTTGATTACGGAATTTTATTTACACACTCCGGTCCTACATGATAAATGCGTCGGTTCATTGCTTTTATTCACTGGATTGCACTTAAGGTGACTCCACACGTAAAATCATAATTGAGAGCATTTGTCGAACACTGTAAAACAACTCTGATTGACTCCAAAAATTAGACACAACACATCCAATATTATTTCTCACTCGACGCCGCTACAAAATTATCATTCGGCTAGAGCATCGAGCATGCGTTAGCTAAACGTCCCGTTATAAAATGACTGTAGCTTCAGTGGCTCCTTTGTCGTTCTAAACTTGAAACTCACTAATACCGCACAATTATCCAAAGCGATTGATACTAAACTTTCAAAACTTCCGTGTACTTTACAAACTTCTTACATGAGATCGACACCCAGTTTAGAATTCAGCGATTGCAATTCTAACATTGTATGGCAACGACGCTATATTTGTTGTCTGTAATCTGTAACAAGCAAGCGACAGACGAAATGCGCATGTTTAGGGGGAAGCGCAACCAATCGAACATCACATTGATACCAGAAATGGAAAACTGTCACCCTTAAATGTCTCAAAAGCATAATTTTCTTCAAGAACTTACTAAAAATTCCCAATCAATCCAGCTGCTTTTATTACCACTTTTTCCTATTAAACACGTTTTTCCAGTCGAACCAAGAAGAAACCTAAATTTCTTTTCAAACAACATGGATTGGTTTTCAGCGCCCTCTAGAAGCATTCGAAACGCAATACAGCTCACTCGTCAATTTGTCAAGATTTTACCCGATTTTACTTTCAATTGAGAATTTACAGGGTGTCCCTGAAATTACTATACAATGCTTAACCACAAATTCCTTATCCTAAAATAAGACGATTTATGCAAACTTATCTATATCCAATGTGGCTTCATTTTGCCGCTACAGGACCCCAAAATTCCCAAATTAATATAGTTTTTCCCAAATCATTTATGAACGCCTACTTCGATTGTCACCAATTTTGGAATCAACAATTACTACATAAATTAACATAGATAAGTTCTATATTGTTGAGGCGGATTCATTTTTTTCCAAACTTCTTGTTGGGTATTTCGCCTCAAAAATTTTTGTCTATA